AATCGCTTTCTCGATAGCTGTCATGGTGGTGGAGATATCACGTGTTGAAAATAGTGGGTGGATATTTTGATTGGGCAGATAGTGTTGCATTGGCTGAACTGTTGCACGCACTGACCACACGCAGTAAAGCTGCACCATTGTCCAGCACCCACCGGGATGTAACCATAATATTGCACTACCTGCCAAGTAATTAATCTACAAATTATCTGTGGTGCTACAGGGCAGGGATATTCATAACACGATGTTTCGAATCGGGGACTTTTGTTTATTATACTACATTAATACAATATATGAACGAGTTGTGTGTCATTCTGGAGTATGCGTGGGAGCGATGCCTAATAATACGCAGCTCATCTTGTGTCAATCCCGCTAACGGTACTGTCGGCCTATGATATCGACGATTGTTCAATCGAGCCTGAAATTTCATATTGTTTTTCAAGAGTACATCAGCTACTACCCTCCCCGTGCTCCTATTTATATCTAATATTCAGTAACTACGACCTAACAGTGAAGGTACCAACACCTTGCTGTCGCATTTCCTATTTGTGGACCGCGATGGCGCCCCCACGTCATGTCAAAGACCGGATACCTCTAATTCTTGGATAGTTTGTAGAACATCATATCTTCGAAACACTTTATAGAGTTCTCTTAGAGAACCTTGGCCAAAATGGAATGAGACTAGGGCTTATCCGAGGTAAGTTGTTCTTCTATGGTACACCATCCTTTGAGTATTTACTAAAGGCATAGGCCCTGAATATGGCATTGTGGATGGTGGGTTGATCGTAAACCCACCAAGCGATTTCTCTCTCAATGATCTAACAGCTGCATTGGAATGGCTTTGAAAAAAACGAGACGACCAAACCTCTAAGCCGCTATAAATCTTTCGATTCGACTCTAAGGCTGGCACTAGCCCCCGAAGGGCCAATCAATGGGTACCATTCTATTTGGTCATGGACTGTACATTTCCGCAATATATTTGCATTGTACCCATGCGTAGTTGGCGTGGAATCTACAGGACGTTGAAGTACTTATTGAATCCGTTGCACACGTTCATTCCATCAACCACCGCGCTGAATACCACAGTAAATCTAAACTAATTGCTAGGCTGCGCTTACAGATGACCCGTTCGGTTGAATAACATCCCTTCAAACTAAAGATGGCTTCACACAGCTAAACACCTCTTATAAGTGTCCACTTGTTATTCGCTCCGCCGAGTTTGCTCTTGCAGATGGCGCTCTCTATGTCACAGAGGGCGTCACACCTCCACCGGGCAACTTCATCGAACGCTTTTGGCAGCTCAACGAAGAGGTGCGGATGAACGGTGGCTCTCCCCAGTTCCTTTCTCGGATTCTGGTGTTATTTGATGTCAAGAGTAAGGTATCTCACAAAGCTGGGGATCAAGTATACATCACCACTATGTCACAGCGCGCACGAGTATCCTTCTACATCTGCGTATGTGCTGCCAATCCAGGCTATGTAGAGCTCATCCCCAACCGCTTTGGTGGAAATGAATGCCCTGCAAACGAAAGAGGTCGCGATGTCGCTGTCAATATTTCTCGCAAGTCGTCCCTCCCACCATCAGCATATGGTGCCCTAAGTCCGTGCAACTCCCCATATCGGATGCCCATCGCCTTACTTCCGGAAGCTCTTCAGAACATATGCCACTGTGCACGTGGCTCAGGCGACTATGTCAACCCCTGGACGCGTGTTCGGTTTACTGGTTGGACGCCATACCTTGAGCACGGGAATGATGGTATGATGCCAAGAGAAGATTCACAGTACTTCGCCTCATTTCTCAGTATTATAGAAATTTGGAGATGTATCCGGAATGCGAACAGGCGTGCTAAGAACGCGATACCAATGCATCTAGGTTTCATTGAGCACCAGCCTCGCTTGGCAGACTTCAAGCTACTCGTTCCTAGTACTGGAGCGCATATGTACTGCCCGCCGCCAAGTATTTTTGCAGCATAAAATTGATGGGCGTTACCGGTCTCCAGCGAGTCCACTTACCAAGGTGGCAATTGCCCGCAACAGGGATAAAGATAATATTAATTATTACTTTACCCACTATGATTGGTATACGTCTCTCTTCTTCAAGGAGACTTATGCTTACATTTGCTATATACAAATTCGACTTCCTCTTCTATCAGTTTGACTACACGGACTTCACAAAAAGGTCGTGGCGTTAGTTCTTTTTCCTCCTAGAGCACGAACTTCCCGACGAGTTTTACGAGACGAAAGCTATAGAGGGTGACTTTAGTAACCCCGCTTAGGAGAAATACTGGATCGAATAAGATACAGCTGGTAGATGGGTTAAGCGTGTCTACAACATCATTCAATCTAACCCGCAACCACGCAAATCCGGTCACCGTTCTGCTCGACCGTCAGGTCGTGATGACACGATGCCGATGCCAGTACCTCTTCGCTTATCCCCCAATAGCTCGCGCAATTTTTCATGGTTCCATCGCAAGATATTCTACAACCTCATGGCTAAATGCGCGTCTCATCTTTCTAGTCTCCTTGTTGTTCTCTTACGCGGAAATAGTATGGTGGATTTTACGTACTGTCGATATCGATAGACGGAACAGGAGCAACATGCTTTCCGTACTCACGGTCACCCACCTTGCACAATCACTGAACTGCCTCCACTGACACCAACTATTCCATTCCACACCTTTACGGGTACCAAAGAACAGACATCTCGTGGACCAAGCCTCTCGACCGCCAACTTCCGCCGAGTTAACTCACGCTAATAGAATCGCTTGCTCATTTTCGACGTATTAGGATTAGAGGGACGTCGTCTTAATAGCCTAGTCCTAGTTGTGCTAACTAATGATATTAGCCCCACTAGTTCGCAACGAGCTGTTTTCGACTTGAATGACACCTTGAATCACTATGAAGGCGATTTTGATAGACGCGTTCCTCTACTTGCTGAACTCCTTTATACGGGCCTTAATCCTGAAGATTACGCGATTGGCGCGCGTGGGCTACTTCTCTTCGAGAGCGATGATTCATGGGGAAATCTATGGCTCCTGCTTGATCAGTTCACTAGGACTAATGCTTTCATGCATCCAAGCAGGTCCAACATATGACGCTCACCGGGCGATTATCAAAGCACACTAGTCGAGCTTCACTAGAGCCTTATCGAACTACACTTGCAAATGAGCGTCAATTAAATGGAATATATTAAGTCACTCGACGAAGAAGATGAGTAAGGATTAGTTTGTGAATTTAACGAATATACTATCTTGTATAAATAGAAAACTTTCCTATCCCTTCTTATATGCACATCTACTTTTCCTGCTAATCGTATCTTTTCTTCTTGGCAATCCTCGCTAGAGCGCAGCCGTGGGCTACTACCTCAACGAGGGAGGATCAACCGTTGACTCGGCTGGATAGGCTGCAAGCCACTCCTGCAGCCTCTTCTTATGTGCTTCGTTTATATTGCTGTGGCTGTATAGTAAGAGACTCGCCCGATACAGCTCGGCCTCTAGTAATAGCTGCTGTTCTTTAAGGAAATAGATATATTCTTCAGTGTCGTACTGCTAAGTATGGGCACCGAGTAGCTGGATTGATGAGCGATTCGGGTCGATATGGCCAAGGATCTTGAGTTTAATAGGGTTATTAGAGGGCTCGATGGCTATTCGAAGATATGGGATGACTAGTTAAGCAAGGAGGAGATTGTTATCGTTTCGTAGTAGCTTAATAAACTCATCGACAAGATTGGGAGGAGGGATTGGTTCGCGCTCAACTCTAGTCTAGAAGATCTCGTAGTAGTTTTGAAGCTTTGTACTCCAAGTAGCACCTGGTGGACTACTAATCAAGTCTTAATATAGCTTCTTTAGGAAAATATCGTCATTCTTGGCCATGGCTTAGTTATGAATCGCCTGGATGTGGTGATAAGAGGTGCAAGGCGGTAGACAAACAATCGCCACGCTCAGGTAGCTTGGTGGTGAGCGCACAGATCCTTTGTCCTACGTGATAGATCCCCTCTTTCTTTAGTACTACCTTTAATCTTCTACCCTTTATCTACTCTCTTGCATACATTTTCGTTCGAATACTATCATCTATGGAGGAATCAGAACCCCCTAAACGCAAGGGTCGCCCTACCCCACGCTTAAAGCCCACGCCAAAACTTCGCGATTTCCCTACTAACTAAAGCCTCTTTCTACATAATTCCCTCTCTGACTACCTAGCGCAAAAGCTATACGATAAAACCCACGACTCAACAAACGACCGCTGGCTCCCAACTAATAAGATTGATGCAATGGCGCTTAATAATATCGCTATTTCGCGCGGATAGGGGTTCTTCTTTTCACCTACACGCAATAGCTAGAGTAGACAGACTTATGACCCTGAGAGCCGTGGACCTCTATCTAATAGCATTAGGTATTGTCGTACACCATGGTATTTTTGAAGCCGCCGCTAACTAGTATTAAGAGCGAGCATACCGTCCCTTATCTTCATACGATTCACTTGGAGCAAGCGTGGACAGGACACCTACTTCCAAAGCCCCTATCGATTACGATATCTTGCCTATAACTTTCAAGTCAACCCTCCGCCGTATCCAACCCCCGTGTATTGCATTTAAGCCGCTTCGGATACCCGTTATCCGCTTTTTATGATACCTCACACGTCATTTATTATGCTACGGACAAACCCACTTTACTTTGGCAGTGTGGCTAACATGGCACCAATAATCAGTCCACCACCACGCCAGAGAAAAGGCCTAGATGCAGAGCTGAGATTAGCCCAGGCCTCTTATCTATGGGACAAGCAGTCAATGAACCTGCAAGTACTCTAATTTAAAAGATTCAGTCATAGCTCCCTTGAAAGCCTATATGAGGCTGTCCTCAATATTTGCCATAGTCCAGCCAGTCTAACTTCGGGTGATCTTTTAGACTTACTCCCGCGCCCTGCACACCCAGAGGTCGGCATAGTAATTGGCACGAGCCCGTCAGTGGCGCCTTCTCAAGTAGGTATCCGTTTGGCGCGCACTTCACCTAAACGCGACTAAAAGGGGTTCATAGCAGTAGATAGAGCTAAAGAAATTTTGTCTAAGACCTCTTATACTTTTTTAAGCTATTAGAAAGTGTCCTTTATTTGCGACATATGTTTCAGTACGCTATATAAACTTACTCTAGCACTTCTTCATCGTCAACATAGCTTCAGCGTATCCTCTTAGGTAAGCATTCGCTCTTCTTATTCCACTATCAAAAGTTGCAGCCGCTACGACAATAATTCGGCGAAACCTTCCATATATCATCGAACACGATAATATTGATATCACACCAGTTATCAGACGCCGCATCATTAGAATGTCCTTCGATGCTATCGCAGGACGCCGCTCCTTTATATTCGGTGCCTCACGAGCCAGCGATTACCAGTTACCACATCTGGATAGGATTGCTAAGCATCATTTCGCCCCTTATTTTGACTCCAATAACTATGCTCTATACCTCAACAATACCAGTTCGGAGCGCATACACCTCTCGTCAGCGGCGTCTATTATTCTCCTTACTACGTTAAACTCTCCATTCCGGATAACTACCCCTTTAACCACAATCGCTGTAGGCTTAAAAGCTTGTAGATTCAAGCTTATGTTGCCTACATCTACCCTTACCTATAAGGAAGCCGTTAAAAACCATTTTCTCTTGTTACGAGAGTCTGCTTCTCCAAACTTAGTCAACCCAGTCACACTCAACCTAGTCGAACCTAATCCTCCCAAACAACATAAATGCACGCTGCCCTCTTTCACGATAACATCCGTCTACTAGGAGTGCCTTCTTGCATTAGTATTCATCGCAGCCATAATATTAGTCTATAGGTCAGGAGCTTTTAAGTAGTGTTTAGTCGTAAGCTACCTAGTTATAACTCAATCTGATCTTCCTTCATCCCATCTCTTTCCGGCTCTGCACTCACTTTGTACCACCCTCATAGTGTTCAATTCTACTACTCGGCAAACCTCATTTTTAATGTGTTTCTTTCTTTTCTTTTTGCTCCATTCTGTACAAGGAGATCAATGAAACGTGAAGAGTGGATTTTACAAGTTAGCAGGATTACCATGCTTAGTACATACACAATATATACAAATGAAAACATAGTGCTTCTCTATATCAACCTAGTTATGATCAAGAACTTCAGCAAGAGGACATGGTAGTAATGATCAAACAAGCAAAGTCGCACAATCTGTTGCTCCAAACCTGCTCTATCGTCGTCTCATGGGCAAATTTCTAGGTCATCTTGCGTTTTGGCTACGATTCGCATCGCCCATAAGCATCAAAAGTCTTGCAATTTTGCAAAGTGGCATGTCCCGACAGATAAATTACGGAGGTCCGACACATGGAATCAGGCGGCTCCGTACTCAAAAATCGTCGCATTTAGTCTTGTCTCGTACACACACGCCACGTCTCTATTTTCGAAGAAAGATGAACAGAGAGTGAGCATGCATGTATCCAGCTCGAAATCCGCCAAATGGAACAGCGGATTGAGCGAGGCAAGAGACCGGGATTTGGTTTACTACAAGGATGGGTTGCGCATCGAAAGAGCCTTTTGTCTTTCACATTCATGGATTTGATGAATGATGTGTTGAAACACAGTAGGCGCGTTGCGATGCGTGTGTGTATGTATACAAAGACACCCCACGGCCGATGGTGAGGATGCCTTTGTAGCTAGAAGGTTGATTGGTAGGAGTGCGGAGGCAGTTTCGCACCGAAAAGGTTTTTCTTCATGATTATGTCATGGTCTAAGCTATACCCGGTTTGGAACTAGCTTGTTCATCCTTTCTCTGCTATGCTTCCTCGACACCAGCCACTTCACGCGGCATATTTAGCCATTGCACCAATGATAAGGCTCCATGGACAGCCGTGCTTGCCATTTTTGCTTGAATGCGGGTGCTAGACTCTGGAATTGCTGCTCGGATTGCGACATCGCTTGCAATAGGTCTGGCATGCTTGATATGGCGCTAGCTTCGAGTTGGCATCCCGTGCATGTTCGAGCCGTGTGTATAATCGAGTGACACATGAGAATCTGCGAAGCTGATTTGCTTCTTGTCCTTTTTACATCATCTACCCTCTTACACGATTGAGTCCCTATCCTGATTTTCGCATTGCTCTTCGAGCATGACGGCTCATACTTATAATGTATCCGCGGAGCGCACAGGCGGGCGTTCGGCAACTGGCCAAGATGCAGAGTCAGGCGCAAATGCGGCGGTATCGCAAGAGAAAGATTTAGCAATTGGCCTTGTAGGGGAACACGCGCAGGAAATCGACCCAGAAATCGAGGCTAGAGTTTTGAAAAAAGTAGATTGGTTTCTGATACCAGCCATGATTGTCGGTACTGCTCACAGCCCGTAACCTGAGAGCCATTTGAATTGTATGATTAACTAAAAGCTCAGGATATGGACTGGTGTACTATGATAAAGCTATCTTGGGCTCCGCAGTCCTCTTCGGCATGACAAAGGACCTCTCGCTCAGCATTACAGACACCAGCACGAGGCCGCCTACAACAAACACATCTCGTCTGTCATGGGCGACATCCCTCTTCTATTTTGGCATGCTAGCAGGTCTCTATCCCATGACTTTTGCTCTACAGCGCTTCAATCTCGGCCGCATACTAGGTGGCGTTGTCATGCTCTGGGCCCTGGTCTGCATGTTAACCGCAGCCGTCACCACGTACAAAGGGCTCTATGCGCAGCGCTTCTTTCTCGGTTTCGTAGAGAGTATCATACCAACTGGTTTCATGACGATAATATCTAGCTACTACACGCAGCAGGAACAGGCTATACGGCAGAGCTGGTGGTTTAGTTCTACAGGCCTCTTTACGATTATCGGGGGTGCACTCAACTATGGCTTTGCCCAGATTACCGCCGGGGACTTGAAACGCTGGCAGTACATTTACCTTTTAGCGGGCTGCTTGACTTTTCTCTTCGGTATCTGGTGCTTTTTTATCCCCAACTCGTGTGCTTCGGCATGGTTTCTCTCGCCTGCAGAGCGTGTTGTAGCTGTCGAGCGGCTGCGCAAAGGCGCGACTGGTGTGCGTTGCCAGAAGATTAAACCTGCTCAGCTCAAGGAAGCAGCACTGGATATCAAACTCTGGCTTGTCTTTGTCCTCATGGCGTCGGCATACACGGTCAACGGCGCAGTGTCTGGGTTTGGTCCGCTGATTGTTAGTACATTTGGCTGGTCGACACTCGAATCGATTCTCTGGCAATTCCCCCTCGGTGGCTTGTGCCTTATTATTATCCTACTATGCGGTTACCTCAGTTCACAGATCCCAAATATCCGCCTCATTTTACTTGTCGTAAACTGTCTCCCTGTAATCGCTGGCTGCGCTATGATTTGGAAAGCAGAATGGACCTACCATGCAGCCACCCCTGTTGCAGGATACTCCATCATCGGCACCTTTGGTGCCGTTGTTAGTCAGACCATTGGCATTGGCATGTCCAATGTAGCTGGAGCGACTAAAAAGAGCGCCATGGCAGCTGCCATCTTTGTCGCCTACTGTGTGGGGAACATTGTTGGACCGCAGTTGATTGATAGCCGAGAAAAGCCAACGCATTACCCAAAGCTGTGGACGGGCTTGATTATTTGGTATGCATACTAGTCGGCACCTCCTTCTCTTTTTGAAGCTAATGAGATACGTAGTTACTGCATCACCATTGCTGCAGCTATAGTGCTCTATCTTGTCCTTCAACGCGAAAACAAGAAGAGAGATAGTATCCCTATCGATGAAGCAGAGCGTGACAAGCTCGCATTCATGGACTTAACTGATAAAGAGAATCCCTACTTTCGATATGTTTTGTAGTCTGGGTAGGAGCGCTTCTATGGGCGTTGAATTGTGTAGCCAAAGAAAAGCTGGATTTCTCATAGCGTTGGTTTGATTCCTCAACTTGTCGCTGTGACGAGAAGAAGAAAAGAAATCAGATAGGAATAGATGAAGTAGAGATCAAGAGGGAAATTTGTGCAATTTCGATAGTAACATCGTCAATGTACAGCTGCAAACCCAATCAAGCGGGAACCAAAACTGCGCGACCTGGCCGAAGGCTACAATCCAAGAACGGCTCAAATACAAAAGTCCACAGTCTAGTCCCGTACAACAACGCCAATAGCAACAGGGACACAGCCATTCCACCCGCGTGTCACATCCGTGTACTCCCCCTTCATGAAGCCCCGGGGGACATGTAGCAATGCTCGCTCGAAAAAAAACAAAAGAACGAAGAAAATACAAAAGACGCCGGAATCCAGGGACAAAGAAGATAGACACAACGCCCTTGGTTTCAAACCCCAAAGACCAGTCGACTCAACAGATTGGGTTCGCTTTGCTGTATGCATCCATTGGAAGCTCAAATATACAGCCGTCGTCGTCGCCGCGCATCCATCGCTTGGCTGACTGTTGCTCCTGACAAAAAGGAAAAGTGAACGATAGGGTATAGTTGTAACAGGGAGGAGTGCGGACAAGGCATCTTCACGGTACGAGATAACAAAAGAAAAAAGATTGCTGATGCTTCACAATCACCCATCAATGAAGTGCTCGAGGTCGGGGTCGGACGCCAGCTTCAGTCGCGCTGCGTACTCTAATTGTGGGTGGTCGTATCTCTGGTGCATCGGCCATGGCAGCGTCGTAGCTGGGGACGGGCGGGCTAGTTTCCCTCGGCTGTTGCTGGTTCTGTAGGAGTGGTGCTCGCTCGTCCCAATAACCGTTTTGATGGCTAGCCGTGTTTCGCAGGCTGGGAGAGCCGACAGGACTGGTGTATTCGGGGGGAAGCTCGCCGGGTTGCAGAAGAGTCAAGCCCTGGTTGGCTGGGATTGTCCTTCGGTAGTCCTCGCTGGTACCTTCGCCGGGATCGTCATTCGAGTCTACGAGGCTGAGTGCTGTGAGGGATATGTCTGTCGGGCTACGTTGGGGGCCTGGACTAGTGGGTACTTGTCTCCCAAGACGCATTTGCTGACTGCTAGACCGTGCATGTGCGTAGCCTGCTTGGATGTAACTGCCAGCCATTCCTTCTCTAACACCTTCCCGCCCAGAGTCTAGCAGTATAGATCCTTGTTCGCTGCCATATGGTGGTGGTGGGGCCAAGCTTCCGGTTTGCGGTGCTAAACCCCACTTCTTAACATTGGCTTCGATGAATACGAAGCCCATCTGACCAAAGTTGACATGAACGTGGCATGGACCATTTGCGCCGACTGTGGGGAAGAAGTTCTGGGTCTTGAGGCCGTGTGCGACGTCATCAAGCCTTTTACCATTGCGCGTGAAGAAGACTGTTCCAGTTCGAGGTCGGTATCCAACGCCAATGACATCTCCTTGAACGTAGGCGGGACCGTATGCAGAGGGTTGGAAGGGCTGGTTGTATCGGCGGTTTCCGTTGGACATGTATGATATTGATGATTTATGGTAGCCTAAAAGGAGTCAGAATGTAAATCAAAGGATGGAGTGCAGTGGCAGACGCACCTGGAAGCCTAAATAATGGATATGGCTTGGTCGTCACGCCAATCGCTATGCTTGTGCTCTCGGGCTTTTCGTAAACCTTGGCTTCCCAGTAGTAGACTTCGTTTTGCTTGGGTATCGGTAGGTTGCTCTGAACGCTGCATTCGGAATCGAAGAACTCGATTTCAGTACGGCCTTCTACAAAGCAGTTTGCAATCTCGAGTTCGGGCTCAAATTCCCAAGCAGATACACCCTTTTCTTGAATGGCCAGGAATTGTGAAAGAGAGATATCGGTTTGAACGGATTCGGGCGGGTTTGCTTGAACGAAAGCTATGAAAGTTAGTGCGCGTCCGTTGCCATTGAATGATTGAGCAAAGACGCAATATAGCAGGCATACCTTTGGCTCTCAGGTACTCTGTTCGCTGCAGATCGTCCATAGAGTCGAGCGCCTCGGCCTCTTCTTTGGCAAATTGCTGTTCGTCATCATATTCACCTGGCCGCGTTATCCGGTCGAGGAAGATGCGGCCTGTTTGCGTGTACCTGAAGTAGTAAACAATGGCGGCGATGATGAGGCATATTCCCGCAGCGCCAAGGACGGAAAAGATGCCGATCATGATTCCCTTTGCCGTGGATCCGAGGCTGTTGTGGGAAGCTGCTGTGTGCGCGACGACATTGTGTTGGGCGCGGTGGTGTGTGAAGGGTGCTGGCTGCATGGGCGGGAGATTGTGGCCCGGGTGGTACGACGTGTAGAGCGTCGACGTGGGCCCGTCCGGGTGGAGGGGCTCCTGGGGCAGCATTGCAAGGAGCCGGCGAGACAACTATCACAGGCGGGAGGCGGCGGAAGGTGGGCGACGCAATCCAGGCCGTGAAGGAGAGCGCGGCGGCGCTGGTGATGGTAGTGGCCGGGCTATCAGGGCTGGCAATGGATGAAGCAGCGGGGGCCGGGACCAGCTCGGTGACGTGCAGCGACAGAGGCGCAGTGCTGGCGACGCGGCGGGGCGACGATGTGCGGTGATGGAGGCGAGATGCGCGGGTGGCAGCAGTTGCAAGTGTCGTCGGGGTGGAGAGAGGACCAAGGAAAAGACGTCGAGAGGCGGGATGGGATGGCGCCGGCGGGCGGCAGTAGTAGAGGGAGGAGTGGTGAGATGTGCGTGAGACGTCAAGTGCCTGACGCTGCGTTGCCACCTCGTCGACTGCCTGCACACGACACACGCAGGGCCGCGCCTCTCACCAGTCTGCCGATCTAGCCGTCACGCCTTCGCTTGGACGCTTCTAGGCGACTCTGCTGCAACAGTATCAGAACTCGGTCTGCATCTTGCTTTGCTCTGCTCAACGCCGTCGCCCCTAGCTCTGCCCTCCATGATTGCCCGTTGGCTGCCCGCTGGTTGCTCGCTGCCGCCGTCCGGGCCCAGGCGTCGGCCAGAACCAGACTCGCACCCCCAACACCACGGCCTTGCATGGCCACGACACAATGCTTTGCATCGCTGCATCACTGCATGCTGCCTTTGCCAGCCTGGGTATCGAGCAGCCATGCGCCATGCGCCATGCACAGCGGGTCACGTGATTGAATCATTGTCGCTCACCGTGGCATGGGCGTCTGTCTTGGGCCATGTTTCGCTTGGTGAGAGGCAGAAGCAATCTGATCTGACATTGACCCCCATGGTTTCAAATGAGGCCAAATGCTAAAATTGGCGTGCAGCTGTAGTCGCCCGTAGGCGCCGCCGGCACACGGTTCGTGAAGCAGCCATTCCACCACCCACTGCCTAAACGCTATGCAATCGTGAAACACTGACAGTCCAGAGCCGCCTACAAAGGCGCTTCACCATTCAAAACCACTGCGCCCGCCACCGCCATCCCCCACTGCAACTGCAACTGCTTTGTTCATCTTCACCTCGATGCCCCCGTCCCGCAATGTCCGCCCCGCAATCGAATCGCAATCTGTGCATCTGCATCAGCCTCGCAAGGCTTGACCTACCTACCGTTGACGTCAATCATCTCTGATGATGTCAGACTGCCTGTGCGCCTGCGACCACCTTCATTTTTTCCCCTGCTTCAGATGATGCGATGCATACTTCCAAGCAGCAGCATGGCGTCATCTAGCACTACAGGAACACAGAACTGCTTGCATGCTCTACTCTACCAAGTATCTACGGTGGAACAAAGGCACAACGGTGGGTTGCCACGCGCATGCACGCAGGGACTAAACATGTTGCAGATGCTTCCCAGGTACCGATCATACCCAAGTACACTGAGTCATGTTTGTGCAGCCTGGACCCTACTACTCACAATCTGTCCATGCTTCCAAGCAATGAAAATGTTCTTCACATTGGCTTCGTCACATCATGATGCTTCTCCGCCGAGCCAGCTAGTTTGATAGTTGGAACATCGGAATATGCCAGGGCGAGTGCAGCTCACAAGAACAGGGGAAAAACAAGCAAACAGGCTCATGATAAGAAATGAGCAGCGTTGTTAAATATCGCTCCCGATTTAAGTATACAGGTGGTATGTAGTTGGAGTGGTATCCTCAGGATTGATAGATTGCCGAGAGGCTCTTGCTCAGTGACATAGAGCGATTAGACCGAGAAATAACCCAGCCACGCATGTGCTTGCTCAGAGGCTACTAGATAGGAGACAGACCCGACAGCGATCTACAAGTACATTGGAGGCAAGCCAACGAGGCGCGACCGGAGTGGCTGAAGACATGTGGAGCTCCTTCAAGTTAGGTAGTGGGTTAAAGCCCCTAATAACCGAGAGAGCGTTATTGGTGTGCTGTGTAACGCGAGGATCCTCTCTTGAGTGAAACTATTGCTATTGATTTGGTAGAGGAAGAGCGACAGCTAGTGAATGCTTGTTTCGGTACTCTAGTATCAGTGTGGCCAAAGGCTGCTCTGTAGCGAGTCTGGCTGGGCGGGAGGCAACGGTCAGGCCAAGACATGTGATTTCTCGCAACATGCCAAACCCGCAACGCTTGCAATATATACAGTGGGGTTTGGGGGAAAGTCCGCCAGATGATACAGCGGCATAGTGCGGCAGCAAAATGTATTGTCTGTACTCGAGCACAATGATGCAACGTGCATCGAGCCGTGCAACGTGCGGGCTGTCAAAGGCGCTGCCCGACGTGCGACACCACCAGGGCCATGTGAATGCAGTGGCAGCGAAGAGGCGTGACGGCAGCAGTCTTGTTTTCTAGAGCGACAGCCCATGTATGCAGGAGCTGGTACAGTACATGTTCAGTGCAGGTGTGGTAGTTTTCTCGCCGTCGCCCTCCCCAAGCAAGTGACCCAGCCAGAGTTGGGAGGTGGCAGATGGGCGGGTCGCCCCCAGCAGACGCGCGCTCACAAAACTTTGAACTGGCCTTTCCCCCCCTCCCCTTATAGCCACCGCCCAAACTGCTTCTCTCACCCGCCTCACCCCAGGTCTGCCGAGGCTTTTTTTGCATGCTGTCGTCGACTTAGTTGCTCTGCAGCTGCTCCTTTCTCTCGACTACCGGAGCACTCGATTGGTCGCACACCTGAGGACCCGCAAGCACGTTTCCGCTGCGCCCCGCGCATCACCACTAGCAAACTTGTCGCGGCACACCGAAATTATCACGACAGATTGCTGAAACGCCCGTCGACTTTGCAAAGGAAAAAAATGCAATTTATTTTGTGAGACGCTATCTCTCTGTCAAAGGCCTGTATGTTGGCACTGCCCCTCCATTCATCCTTCAACCGCCTTCCCCACTAAAGCTAACCATGAAGCGTACCAGCAGACCAAGCTTAAGCCGACACGGCCTTCTCTTTTTTTCCCCTCGCCTTATCTCGCAGTGCAGCCTTACTTCACCACTACTCCCCTTAATTTAGGGTTGCTAGTCGACACTTCCATATCTTTCTCTTGCACAGCCAAATACACCACCCTCCGCTATGGCGTGGCAACCGCAGGACGATCCTCTACGGCAGTTGGTCCAGTGCCTGAGCGACTCGCTCAGTGCCAATGACGCAAATGCGCGAAAGAATGCTGGAGAAGTCAGTATACCCTATCCATGTGCTGGAGGGTTGCATAATGCTGACCTCAAATACACAGATGCTCAAATCGGCGCAAACTTCGCCTGATATCGACAAATACCTAGCCTACGTCTTCTCCAACAACCAGCCCCCGTCCAGCGTCAACATGGATGCTGCGCAATACTTCCAAGCAAGAGCTGCCGCAGCCGTCATGCTCAAGAACGACGTAAAGACGACCTATAAAGCCATGCCCGATTCGACCAAAGACTATATACGATCCGTTATTCTTCTCGGCCTACAAGACCCCACATCGCAAATAAGAGGATATGCAGGCAACGTCATTACGGAAATTGTGCGCCAGGGAGGCATCATGGCATGGCCACAAATTCTTTCGGAGCTCATCAGCATGGTTAGCAACGCCGACGGCAATGTCTCAACACAAGCGCAAGAAGGCGCCATGGGTGCATTGTTAAAGATTTGTGAGGACAACAGGAAAGCCCTCGATAAGGAATACCAGGGACAGAAGCCCCTCGACTTTATATTTCCCAAGCTTCTCGAAATCACTACAAGCTCTCAGTCTCGAGTGCGCGCTGATGCATTGGCTGCTATCAACGTGTTCGTCCCGGAAAAGCCACCGGCTGTTGTTTCCCACATCGATACACTGCTACAACAATTATTTCAATTGGCCGGCGACTCTAGTGAAGATGTGCGCAAGCACGTATGCCGAACCTTTGTTCACATCGCCGATATTGCCCCCCAAAAGATAATACCGCACATGGACGGCCTTGTCGAGTTCATGATCACGCAGCAGCGCACACCAAACAACCCAGACTTGGCCCTGGACGCAGCAGAGTTCTGGCTATGTGCTAGTGAAGACGAAAAGATGCGCGATCACCTTGGCCCGTACTTGGCCAAGATAGTACCGGTTCTGCTTGCGAGTATGGTATACAGTGAAGATGACATTATGCGTCTCGAGGGTGAAGAGGAAGACTACGAGGTTGAGGATCGAGAACAAGACATCAAACCTACTTTTGCGTCGAGTAAGGCTGGAAGACTCACTACCAACGCAAACGGCGAAACAGTTCCTGCCAATGGAGGACAAGGAGCTTCAGCCGACGACAACGATGATGACCTGAGTGATGGTGAAATTGACGACTTCGACGACGATGATGAGTTTGGAGACCCAGAGGAGCAGTGGAACCTTCGAAAATGCTCTGCGGCGGCTCTCGATGTCCTCGCATCAGTGTTCCATGAAGCTGTCTTCCAAGCAACTCTTCCTTACCTCACAGATAATCTTAATCATGCTGAGTGGCCCCATCGCGAATCGGCAGTCCTTGCACTTGGTGCTATTGCAGATGGCTGCATGTCGGTGGTTGAACCGCATCTTCCTATGCTCACTCCATTCCTCATCACTCTGCTCGAGGACCCTAAGCCTGTTGTTCGTCAGATCACATGTTGGACTCTGGGACGTTACTCGGGTTGGGCTTCTCACCTCGACGCGGCTGGTAAGAAACAGTTCTTCGAGCCGGTCATGGAGGGCATCTTGATGAAGATGCTTGACAGGAACAAGCGTGTGCAGGAAGCCGCAGCATCTGCCTTTGCCAATTTGGAAGAAAAGGCAAATACCGAGCTTGCACCATACTGCACTGTCATTGTCCGACAGTTTGTCCAGTGCTTTTCCATGTACAAGGACAGGAACATGTTCATCCTCTACGACTGTGTCCAGACGTTGGCCGAACATGTTGGACCTGAGCTGTCCAAAGACGAGCTGGTTCAGATACTGATGCCCGCTCTCATTCAGCGCTGGAACAAGGTGTCGGACCACTCGCGGGAAATGTTCCCATTGCTTGAATGCCTTTCATATGTTGCTACAGCCCTCGGGCCCAAGTTCGCCCCGTATGCAGCTGGTATATTCGCCAGGTGTATCAAGATTATTCATCGCAATCTTGAAGAAGGAGTCATGGCATCTGAGATCAATGGCTTTGAGCCCCCGGACAAAGATTTCTTAGTGACCAGTCTGGACCTGCTCAGCGCCATCATTCAGGCCCTGAACCTCCAGGACAGCGCGACACTAGTCACACAGGCGCCGACATTCTTCCAACTATTAGCTGTCTGCATGAGAGATCCCAACAACGATGTGCGACAGTCGGCATATGCTCTTCTCGGAGATTGTGCCATCTATGTCTTCCAGCAACTCCAGCCTTGCTTGCCCGACATCCTGAACATCCTCATCCCGCAGCTCGATTTTGCTCAAGTAACAACTGATGGCCTGGAGACGGGTTATTCGGTTATCAACAACGCGTGCTGGTCTGTTGGCGAGATTGCCATGTGCCACAAGGAAGGCATGCAGCCCTATATTGAGAAACTGTTGCAAAAACTTGGTACCATCTTGTTTGACCAGAGGGTTCCTGAGTCTCTGAATGAGAATGCGGCCATTGCTCTGGGCCGCTTAGGTCTCGGGTGTGCCCCTTCGCTAGCGGTCCATCTTGCGCAGATTGCTCCGGCTTTCATCCGTGCTATCAAGAATGTTCAATGGACAGACGAAAAGTGCCACGCTCTGACTGGTTTCATGTTGATTGTGCTGGCGAACCCTGGTGCCATGGAGCAATCTCTGCTTGAATTCTTCAGCGACATGTCCATGGCGGACAGCAATGTGGTCCGAGGCCCTGCAGGCAGACAGGTTCTAGAGACATTCCAAAAGGTAAAAGAAAACAAAATTACTATTAGTCATATCTGCAATTTACTAACGCTCGTGGCCAGGTCATCCAGCAGTACAAGGGCATGATTTCGGACTTTGACGCCTTTCTGGGCGGTCTTCCCGCGGAGCAACAAGCACGGTTCCGGGAACTGTACAGCGTCTAGGCGTCTCTGTCTTTCTCCCCCAAAGCATTTATTTCATGTGGTATAGCGGGCGTTGAATGTGGACATGTGTGAAGTATGGTATTATAGTGAGAAGAAGAGGAGGAAGAAACATCAGTAAAAAAAAAGAAGAAAAGCGAAGGTGAGGGTAAAACGTTCATGAGGTGAGGTGGGGAGATTATGCCACTCCCGATTGAAGAAGGAGAAGAACGAAACGAAGTCAATGAAAGCATTTCACGGCAGAAGGGGTTATGGGAGCGGAGGGCAAAGGTTCCTCACGGCATCATATATAGACATTTGTTTCGTTTGCTTGGCTTTTTTTTTTCTTTTATACTCCAGCGAGCGACCTCTTTTTTTTCTCTTCGCTGCTTGGTTGGATTTTTCTCCATCCTGAGCTCGACGAAGTGCTATGAGGCAACATTTTCCCGGGCGTTTTTCTTTCTTATTCATGTGAGTGTAGTATGATGGATACGGGGGTAGTTTTATATTAGTATAAGTAGATAGCTTAGCTTAGCTTTTTTTTTCTCTCTTTCTCTTTTTTTTCAAAGTGAGAGTCTGAGTGAGGGTGTGTGAGATGAGTCTTGTGTATGAGAAAGAAAGTCTGTATAGGGGGTTCTGTGTGAGAGAGTGAGAGAGAGTGAGAGAGGAGAGTGTGTCTGTGTGAAGTAGAGTCTGTACGGGAAATCTATGTTTAGTTTGATGAGACAGAGAGTGTGTGATAGACAGAGGGAGAATGAAAGATAAAAGTTTTAGCATTAGTTGTTGTTTTACAAATTTTCTCCCGATATGATAGACATGCTTGAGTGTTAGTGTTGTTTTGTCCTGTTTCCATCTTGCCGGATTCTATGGTTCCAGGTGTTATTTGTCAATTTATAGTTCTGAGCTAGAACGGGCCGGTCGGTTGTCTCGACTTCGTTCTTTCTTTCTCTTCTCGCTTCTTCTCTCCTCTTCCCACCACACCCCCCCCCCTTCCTGTCTGGACCCCTCGCAGACATGGTCCCAGGATCTTGGTTACCGGATTTTCCTTCATTCTAGTTTCAGTGTCTCTAACCCCACTAGGTCTCCAACACATACGAAATCTTAATCTGGAGTCATGATATGCTGCCACACACGGGACTGACTCGATGGGGGGCGGGGGAATACGGACATACTGCTATTCTTCATCTCTCTTGTCCCGTCCCTCTTCCCTACAAGCTTAGAGATTAATGTGCTCATCTCTCTGGCAATCTAGATCATCTGAACTAGCGGCATCTAGTTCCCTCTTGACACAACCCGCCCTCCACCCCCCAAACCCATCCCGCCCAGTTCCCCCGCTAACCCCTTTCCAGTGATTTATATGGGCAGGTTTTGGGTTCGCGGCCGGGATCTAGTGAGTTAGCCCAGGGTACCTTGCTACAACGACATCAAGCTACAGGGCTGTACCAAGTAACACTTTCATATGCACGTTGTCTGTATACATATGTACTAGGTATACAGACCACGTGAGTAAGTTTGTGCGCGTGTGTGTGTGTGCGTGTGGGTGGGTGGGTGTGCACTATCATACAGTAGTTCGATACTAGTAGGGTCATGAAAAGAGACAGGAGGGAGTGTGAGGGTCCCGCTACTATGTAGAAGAGCGCTTCAGCAGGAGGCAGAATGACATCATTTTTATGCACGCAGTGGCTTGTTGGCGTGGCTACGTATCTTGCAACAGTTGGCCGAGTGGCTCGTATTCTCTGGAATTCGTAACTGCCATGGTTAGGCGAAGAGTCTTGGCTAGCCTCGCTCTCTCTCTCTCTCTCTTTCTCGCTATTTTCTTTTTCAACTGAATCCTTCGGAGTAGAGGCAGAAGGACTGCTATAGGCTATTGTGCTGTTCGTATTCTCTATTGTAGTCTGTAGTCGATAGTTGGTCTCGGAAGTTTATGCCGAACTGTCGGCAGATGGTTCTTGCTATCTTCCTTGTTTTCCTTGATCTTAGTTGCTTTTTTTCCCTATTTTTTTAATTTCCGATGTCTTCACCTCTATGACGCGCAAATGTACGTATGATGTAAAGAGTTGGAGACGAAGATTTCGAACAAGCTCGCTATCGTTTAGTCTAATAATTCACTGTACACTTACTGCACAGGCAGATAAATGGACACACACACATATTAAATGAGACTGCATTTGCACCTTAGACTAGAAACGCCTAGTGTAAAGTTTGATACTGAAGTGGTCATATCATCCGACAAAACCCTCCTTTTCCACAGGGATTATGCATTGATAGTACTGGAGTACACCGCTTTGCGGTGCATCCAAGTACACAATAAGTAATCAGGAAAGGGTTAAACCTGTTGGGTACTATAGGGTGATACTAGTTGGCAGAGAAAGTTGGAGACTACCCCTCTTTCTTAGCAGCTTGAGAAACCACCGACAAGTCGGTAAAAAATAAAAGGTTTCGGAGCAAAGTCACGTATTAGTGCGCCATCGGGATTGCAGGCGATTAGCATGTTGGCATTGAATGGGAAAATCTCGTTATCGTAAAACTAGTCTGAACGCGACTCAGGGACCAGACTAGTGGGCGATCTTGTGGGGGGGGGGGGGGGGAAGGGACTTTGGCACTAGGAGTATTGAGAGGAGTCCGTCGAGGATAGTTTCTAGAAACGACTCGATGGCCGGTCCGAATGTTTCATGGTACGAGACGCTTTACTAGGAAACTTTTTGGTCCGCGGAACTGAGGACTAGAGTACAGTACAGATTTTATGCACGAAAAAATGCGAATGAGAGTATCTTTTTTTTCTCTTCATCTCCATTTCTCAATCTGTCTCCTGTTTTGGGAGAAGGGTGGGGCTGAGGGAAATATTTTTTTCCTCTCGGGCATGCCGTATGAGAGCTGGATTGCTGTGTAACGATATATTGGCAATATCAGCAGATGGAAGGTCTGAATGAGACTATGGCGGGTATGATGTAAGTGGATGCAGCAGATGCAAGCAGGCGTGTATATTCGGGCAGAGAGCCGAGTACTCGGAGCAGACATGTGGACGCCATTGGCTAGTGACAGCAAAGAGGACATGTGGTTCTCGTGTCGCCAACCACACCCGTGGGTATCAATTGGTCCCACGCCAATGGCATTGCATGAAAAAAAAGCTTTTAATAGCCATGTGCCGACGGGTGGAGAGGGGTTGTTTGCAAGGTGGTGTAAGTAGCATGTGGCTTGCAGACAGCTGGAAGAATGGAGACAAATGCGGGTTCGGATTTGCAGGGTCAAAGGCGGGCCTGAGACGAGTGTGGCTAGGAGTGTCTCGATTGGGTGTTACGGGGCCTTGTGGTTGCACGAGGCCAAGGGTATTGGAGACGTCATTGTGTACCATGTTCATGTATAGAATTTGTCAATTGCCTGTTGCGGCCGCCGGGAGAGCTAGGGACCTGCGATGTCGAGCAGACAATGGAGAGGAAGAAAATAGTCAAGGCGAAAATAGGCTAGGTGCAGAAACCCCAGAGATGGCATGGATGAGCCGAGGTGCATTGCTGCTGGCTGCAAAGTTGTTAGGGTAAAGAGAGGTTAAAGCTAAGAATAGCCTTTCTGGCCGGTGGCTAACCCGATTGGGATGCTAGGGCAGTAGTGGCTTTTGGCAAAGTAGCCGGAGGCCGTGTAGGTACGTACTACTCTACCGAATGATGGGCTGGGAGTGGCTTCGTAGAGGCTCTGCCCGGGCGCGAAACGGGCCATGTAGTAGTCGGCGGGCAAAAGGGTAGTACTTAGTCGACGGGCGCTACAGTGCTAGTAAGGTGGATTGGGGCTCGTATCTCGCGATGGCCGTTCTCGTTTCACCAGAAGGGTAAGAGGGAGCGAGGGGGAAGGGGAAGGGGAAGGGGAAGGAGAGTCAGAGGCGTGGATGAACAGCGGTTAGTGCAGGCGGAGGGTGCAACGGGCGCAGGCGCAGGCGCAGGCGCAGGCGCAGGCTCCTCATCAGCATGTTCGGCGAGGGCGTGGTCTGGTCTGGGAGGGGGCAGGAGCTTGGATTGGCGGTGGCCGTTGGAGCGACATGGGACAGTGGGATGGAGAGTACACATGTGGTCAGGCGCCACGGCGGGCGGGCTCGCCTAAGTGGCAGCATGGCAGGGCAAAGAGGCTCGCTGACTCATCTGGGCTGGCTGTGGCGGCGAGCATAGGGACGTGAGGGACGTGAGGGACGTGAGACTTGTGCCTGGCCGAGCCGCTAGAATAGAGCCGCTACTCGGATGGTCTGGCACGACTCGGCGCCGCGCGAGGCAAATATAGCGGCGAGCGTAGTATGGATACAAAAAAAAGTGAGGCCAGCGCGGCGGCCGTGAAGTGGGTGAGTGGCCGACAGACCCTTTGTGCGTTTGGGCAGAGGGGGCAGGAGTGCAGGCAGAGTGCAGTGTGCCGTCATCAGCACTCGCGTGATGGCAGGTGACGCACCGAGGGCTATTTTTGACCTTGAGATATTGGACGGGCCCCGGCGTGCGCGCGCAGAGTTGTAGCAATGGCTGCCATTGGCATCAGCAGAAGGCTGTGCAGTGCAGTGTTTGAGCTGGAGGAGCGGGAGCTGGCGCTGAAGCTAGAATTGGGAGCTGTGCTGTGCAGTGCAGTAGATGGTGGCCCACGGGCATACAGGCCCTGGACCGGAGACAGGAGACAGGAGGCAGGATGCAAGCAGCCAGCCAGGCAGGTGCGCCAGCAATGGCGCGCAGACAGCGGCATCATGACTATCAGGCGGATGGTGATGATGATGATGAGCATCAGCCCTCGAGCGTGGTGCAGGAAAATTTAGCAACGCGGGCCCCGAAGCTGACCCGGGGCCGACTGACAGTGGGTGGTCTGGTTGTGCCCTGGCACTGGCACTGGTGTGGACGACGGGCAGGGCAGGACAGGTCAGGGCAGGACAGGGCAGGGCAGGCAGGCACGACAGGCAGCAAGGGCAGACAGGGCAGGCACGACGGGCAGGACAGGGCAGCAGGGCACGCGGGTTGTAGCTACCTGTTGCAGCTTGGCCCAGCACGCTATCCGCCTGGCTACTGGTCGATCCTTCTCCACGCACGGCCCGCCACACTGTTGGCCTGCCACAGCTCGGCGCTCCTCAATGGCCGTTTTTCACGCCTCTTGCGCGCTGAGCACCCCCGCTGCAAGCGGCTCATGCACCGCACCAACGTCCGCACCAGCAACCGCACCAAATGCCTTCAACCGCGCCCAGCCTGCTCCTTCGTCGGCACCGGCATCGGCACCACGGCTGCCCTGCCCAAACGTCTCTCTCCTCTGTCTCTGCCTCTCCCGGCGCACTCACGGTCCTAACAGGGGGACCGACGCCCGCCTCGAGCACCACACCAGAGCCACCTCTTGCTGCAACCCCAGCTGACAACCAGACCTAGAGCCAGACCACACCTGTTACATGCTCCTGTCCGCCGCCTCAAGTTTCGCCGCGCAGGGGTCCAAATCAATCCATTCCTGATTCTCCCACTCACTAACCAAGTCACTCTCTCACTTCCTCACACACACACCATACACCCTCCCCCCTGCCCACTATCCACCCATCCGTAGCTACATACATACGTAGTCGTACATATCCGTCCACGCTTGCATCCGCCCTCTCCCACATGTCCCGCCCCAGGCTGCCTGCCCTCGGCCCAAGCCATGGCGCCTGTCATGTAAGTATGTACGTACATAGTCCATGTAGCCACGCCGGAACCTCTCGCTGCTGGCTACAGGCGAGGGGTCCATGGCCACTGGAAACAGAAGCTTAATCCCCACGGGAGTTACACCGGGGCCATGTCATACGAGCATGAGCCAGCCGGTCCCATACTGTGTGCATCAATCCATCAACTGTAGCTCCCGCAAGCTTCGCTGTAGTCCCTGCTAGCCTCCCTCCCCTCTGGTCGCCTGCTACCCAAATCCCTCCCATCCCCCTCCCCTCCGCCGCCGCCCGTGGCGTCACTGCTATTTGCGTGGCCGCCATGTCTCTGCTAATCCTCCTTGGCCCCGTTTCTTCGTCTCCGTTGTCGTTGGTTGCCGAGCACAAGTCACCCTGCGCTTTTGCACACATACCACCTCCAGCCTGGCGACCCTCTAGTCTCGTAGCCTTGCCCTGATCCTGCATGGTCGCGGTGCAGGGGGCAGCGTGCAGACGAGCTTGACCCCATCCGCTGTCACCTCGTCCTGTCGTGCCCTCGTTGCATGTCCGCCGGAGGCATCGCTGGCTTTTGCGTCAATATCTGGGCCAGCCCTAAAGCTATCTAAGCTTATCCATCCTATCTGCACTCTGCACTCTGCACTATATATCACCACAAGCCCATCACAGTTACCCTGCCCAAAAAAAACACCCTGTCCAATTTATTCACCGGTTTCGACCCCATTACCCTCGCTTTGTCAACTCTGCGCCACATCTACTACACCTGGGACACACTTGCTCTCCCTCACCCACACCACCATCACCACCATCACCACAACTCCTCAAGCCATCTCCAACCGACTTGTCCACATCCTAATCCCACCTATACTGGGCCTCTGCAATCCTAAACTGCGCAGTCCTACTTCATATTCTCCCGATTCCTCCTCCCACTCGCTAAAAACGACTCTGTCGACTTTCACCAAAACTAACAAAATGGCTGGACCTGGTGGTGGCCCTTCAAGGCGCAGCCATACCAAATCCCGAAAGGGTTGCAAAACCTGCAAGCGGAGACATATTCGCTGTGATGAGACATTTCCCCAATGGTAACCCACACAGGCCTTCTTTTTTTCCTCTGTCTTTTTTTTTCAATGCCTCCATTCACAGACTAACAACCACTCTAGTCGCAACTGCACGAAGCATCAAGTCCGCTGCGACTACATGGACAGTCCCACTGCCATGGTACCAGAATCTCCACAGTCTCCTCAACAGCCCAATCTGCTCTGGACACCCGAGATTGAGGCCACCATCGAACTCTGGAGACAGACGGGAGAATTCCCCTTCCCAGAGCTTCGAGTCTACCCTCAGCCGCAATGGCGTACCTTGACGACGGTTGATCTCCGTCTCATACACCACCTCTCTTCGATTTCAAACGAAATGTTCAGGAACAGGACCTCGAAATCGACTCTGTGGACAGACATGATGCCCAAGTACGCAATTGACTGCCCTCGCCTTTGCCAATCTGTCAAAACACGACTGACTTGTCTAGATTCTTGAGCATTGCTGCGTCCCATCCATTCGTTATGCATAGCATTCTCGCCTTTTCTGCCTCGCATCTTGCCTGGATCTCTCAGTCGGCTGAAACACGCAACCTTGCCTTCCACCACGCAAGCCTTGCCCTCAAGGGCCTGCACGACGGCATCACCAACTTTACTAAACACAACTCAGACGCAGTACTTGCGTCTTCTCTTCTACTCGCATGGCAGGCGACGGACTGGTGAGGATACTCCCCCGACCAAGCTGCTGATCCGAAACTAACAAAAGCCATACAGGCGAGGCTGGGCTTCTCTGGTTACCGGTACAAAAACAGTAGGTTAAATTCTGCAAATCTGCAGATACACAAGCTAACAGTAAAATTAGGTAATACAATCCATGCAGCCCTGGAGGCACGAATCTCTTTTTGCAGACTACATCGCAGAGCACACTCCTATGCCTGACCGACATTTCATGAACCCCATCAATACACCAATATCGCCAGAAGCACACAGGGAGCACATCAACACCCTTGTCGACATCCACGCGTCTCTACAACGCCTACAACCCTATTTGGTTCACAGCGAACAGGAGTCAAAATGGGTAGAGCAGCTAAAAGGCTACCTTGACCGCCTGAGATCGTCAGGCCAAGCTCAGAGCCCAGAAGAACAGTTCAATCAGTTGTATGCCCTACGCAAGTGGCTATTCTGGGTCCCGATCTCACTTTTGGCTGCAAAACGCGGAGACATTGTCGTACTGGTTATCCTAGCGCACTTCTACGCTACCGCATTGGCCTTGGAGCCAATGTTCCCTGATGTTGCGTCCATCTTTGTCGCAGACCTGTCTGTTCGTCCACTGGAAGAAATCACCCAGCTTGTCCAGGCATTCCAAGACCCACGATACGATTCACACGTACAGACCATGTCCTACCTGGTACGATTCCCCATGGACATGGCAACATCATACAAAGGGAGGCGCGAATGGGCAAGACAACAAAGCATGGCCATGCCGCCAATGCAGCAGCAATCGAGTTATCCACTAGAGTCGATCAACCAGGATCTAGAAAACCAGATTGCTCAGTACAGCTACGGCCAGAGCCAGAGTCTCTCTCCCGCCTTTGCACCGTCGCCTCTGACATTTCTCCCGGCCGGCATGGCGTCTACGCCCACATCGCCATATCTCGAAGTACCTCGGTCGTCGACAGCGGTGGATGCGTACGGGACGGGTAGCAGCTATGCGTCGTCAAACAGCTACGCGTCTCCGCTCGGGTCACCGGTAGCGCTGCTGCCGCCATACTCAGCCCCGCAGGAGCATGCAATCTCATTCGGAATGCCATCGGGCTATCCCAGCGGGTTCGTGGCTACACCTATCTGGACGTGAACGAAGGCACGCTGAACGAACCCCCAGGAACCAAATGAATGCTGCTCCTCTGCAAGCGACGGCTTCCCAGGTGCATTATCACATTCCTTCGCCCAATGTAGCAGGCCGGCAGGAGCAGACACCAACTGCGGGGTATGCGCCAAACCAATACAGTCAGGCCTGAGCACCGTTATTTCCCAGATTCGAGAAATCGCACCGACAAGATGAAACGCGACATCCGTCCGGCGCGTTGTCGTCATCTCCACTGTTGCATGGGACGGCGAGGACAATTTCCGATCGATTGGCCTGGGTCCATGAAAGGGAAGGGGGGAGGGGGGGTGGTGCATGGGGCCACACGGTCAGGTTCAAGTTGGTCCGATGACATGGACTCAGTTGCAAGTTGCAAGCTGTCGAGAGCTCTTGCAGTAGTCGGCTTTGGGTCTGGCGGCGGCGGGGCTTCGGCGCAACAGCTGGGGGAGCGCAAGATGGAAAGGTTTAGCGAGCCGGCATATTCTGCACGGGCATGCAACAAGGCCGCCCTATCCTGTTACGTCAACGCAACTAGTCCGGCGTTCGCTTATGTAGGTGTGGGAAAGTAGGCACATGGAGCTGGCGGGAAGAATAGGCCCAGCGAGGCAGAGGCTGGCAGCAGGAGCGGGAGGAGCAGGGCAGGGACAGGGCAGCAATTGACGGCGAGGATTGCTGTTTTGACGCAGAGGTTGGGCGCAAGCTCAACATCATCTCAGACAATAGACATGTGTAATGAAGAATAATGTGTATCATCGCAAGTGGAGCGGCGGCTACAAGCAGCCAATTGCGCAATGTTCCTTTTTCTTTCTTTGTTTGTAGATAGCTTGCCGTGATGTGCCTCGCCCCCCCACGTCACCTGAGAGAGGATATTTTGCATAGAGTTAGTACACATGTAGATGGAGACTACTACAAAGACAAGCAGGGTGGTTGCAAAGCCCAAGACTGGTCAACGGGATGGCAAGCGGATGGCGGGATACTCAGTTGGGAATGGATGGAAGAATTAAGGTTGTCCGGTGTGGTGCTAGTTGCTCAGCCCTAGTGGCCTTTCCCCTTGTGACGGTCCTGGTTTGCCCTGCGTTTTCGCGTCGAAGATGGGCAGGCCACTTACCATGTATAGTCATTTTGGAGCCAATGGGCAGCAAGCGGCACACACACCCTTGTTACGCCTAACCCGGTGCGCCGGCTTTACGTACACGTACTAGCATGGTGGCAGCAAAACAGGACCATGGATGATGCATTACAACAGCTGTTTCCCCCTGGCGCCAAGGTTTGGCGTCGAGGCATCGCCTAACCTGGTAGCCGTACTTACTGGCACTTGTCCGCGTGGCGCGTATACAGCCATGTACTTGTACAAGTGGAAAGGCGGCTGTCGTACGATGCACAAAGGCCATCGCGCGCTAGCGTATGACCTACAGCAAGACCGGGATCGCGCGTGATGTCATTCCAGGCGGCTGGTTCGGTTTGGGCGGGTAGTGGAACCCCAGCCTGTTCGCGGGCGCACCGCCACGCGTCGACTGACTGGACCACCCTCTGCATCCTCCTCCACCTCGCCTGCTACTTCGGGGCTTGATTGCGAAGAGTCAGTGGTGCTTCGAGTGCACTAACTACTGCTACCAAACTGCCACAGTCCTAGCACCGCCACACGCCCCCAGCCGAGTCTCGACGTTGCACGTTGCCCTCCACCTCGACGATCTTTTTGTCGCGTAGCTTTTCCTCCTGCACACATGCCTGCGTCAATGCTTGAGACCCGCGCCTAGCAAATCCTTTTGCACACCCCCCCCCCAGTCCCCGCCCAACCAACCAACCAACCAACCGTCCAACGCGATACGCGAGAAATCCTTCTCGTCTGCCCTCGTAACTGCAACCACCATACACTCGCTGTGTCGCCTTCGCGCCTCAGAGTTTGAACTGCGTCACATCATATACTTGCCTATACATGTACCCCAACAGACTTTACCCACATGGCGCCCACATGGCCAGCAATTCGGCACCAAGTGCTTAGCTCACACACTATGCCAGACCCTAATCAAGTCGACCCATTGCCTCGGATCCCCGGAATTCTTGCGTGTCTCGGGAGGCAAGAAAGAGAGAGAGAGAAGGAAAAAGAGAAGACCGTGGTACATTCCGAAGCTGCCCAAAGCACATTACGCGCTGGCCTGCAAGGTTTCGGACGCTTTTTTTCAGGTACACATGTGCCAACATGGCAAGCCCGCCTTGCAGATACCCAATCCGCCCCTGATCACCTTTTGGTGTCCTTGTTTGTCGACGAGGATTCGAAATAGCAGCTTCCCAGCCGTTTTCGTGCAATCACAGATGGGGTATCTGTATGCCAGACCCACAAGATATGTCTGCCGTTGAGCCTCAGGCCTTCCGCTCCGCCGCTGGTTTGGGCTCCGTCTTCTCCATACACGTCTTTAAAATTGCTTGTTTGCCACAGCAGACCCATCAGCGAGCGTGTTGAGAGTTCCACCGTTGTCGCTGTATCCCGCGGCCCCTCATTGGAGCCTCAAGAAGCTGCATGGGTGTCGAGGCTTAGTTTTCGCGCCGCAATTGTGACCAATTAGTGCGCTGTCTGCGTAAGAGTTAGCGTCGGCCGGAATCATTCCGTCGCCTTGCCCTCTCTTTTGGTACGCATTCTTCACAATTATTTCTGTTGCTATCGGTGCTCACATACATGTACACCCAGTAGAGAAGACGAATCGCGAGTGCGTGTAAGGAGAATTGTGAATGACTCGGTACCTTACCCATCCAACTCACGTGCAGGGGACCGCCTATTCATTGACCGCTACTCAGCGATCTGTACATCTTTACTCGGCCGAGTCTGCATCGTGATGTGCTTTTGCTTACGTGCGTAAACTATCTTTTAAACACTAGCACACTTCAGGTGATTGATAATTTTCTATTTCTGGGGCAACAACGCGCTTCCACTCCCTCCTCCCAGAGGCCGCAATGCGGCACTTCGGGTTTTCGCATCAGTTCCCCCCCGAAAATAGTAAAGCTCGGCATCGAAGGATGGAAGAAGCAATCTGACAATATGATATGGGCATATAACCTTTGGCTCAAGACGCTTGCGTCCAAGGCAGGCACAATCAATGAATTCACTAACTGCCCTACCACTGACTGAGAGTTCGTGTGGCGTAACGGCTCGGTCGTCTCTGGGTGCCGCCGCCGCCTGTGTCCCAAGTTTTCTTCTGGAACATTTCTTTCTCCCCTTCCGTCCGCACGCACCCACCATCGCACGTTCTGGAGCTGCCCTGCCAGGCTCATCAAACTCCTGAGGAAATCTGCGCTCACACCATCACACCGGTTCCCCGAAACGCAACCACGTCCATGCAATGCACAGGCATGCGATCTGACCGCCGAATTCAACTACCGATGTGCGTCTACCTGTGTGTGTGTGCCACGATTCAAGCGACCTTTTTCTTAGTCCCGCCCAGGTCTCGGTACAACCTACTACGCCACGGCGAATCAAGATTGACCCTAGTCGTCCCGCCATTAGAACACTACTCCCGTTACTGTCACCATCACCACTACTGTCATGCACACGTGCTGTCGCCGGAGAAAAAAGTTACATCTCTAGCGGATGCGGAGATGCGCACCGCGCAGCAATCGACAACCTTCCAAGGCACCAAGTCGCGCTCTGCTCTGCAACGTGTTGCACTAAGAGTTTCTAGGAGGAACATTTTTGTAGCTAACCTCTTACAACAGGGTCCAGTCGATCCGACCGCCTTGTATCGTGGCGATCTCACACACATCGCACCACACCTAGCGTCACTGTCCTGCGATAGCCTCAACCTACTCGGCGTCTAAGCCTTGAACGTGCCGGGTCAATAAGCCGAGCATTATAGGGGCTAACGTGATAGCAGATGCTAGCGTCTGTATCGTGACGACGAACCATAGCCCTCAGAATTATAAGCTAACGGGACGTGCCGTACGCCCGCAAAAGAAAGGGAGATACGAGGTCGGAGACTTACCATCTCAAGATGCGTATACACGTGTTTGCCGCAGTGGATAGTGGCGATTCTTGTCACTTGCCGGCCCTGCAACTTGCAGAACCTGGGGTTGGGTCATCCCTCTCGAGATTCTTGCCTCTTCGGAGCATGCTGCTTATATCACTCTTACAATCTGGATCATCTAGCTCACGTAAAGTGCATTCATGTCCAAGCAAATCGCGGCTGTAAAGGTCTCGCCCCGCGCTCGGGTCGCGTCACGTGCATGACTCGGAGAGACCTGGTATACCCTCTTGGAAAACTCAAGTTGAGCGATATCCTTTTCTCTCCCTTTTCCTTATCCCCCGTTTCTCAAAACGTATAGGAGGCCTGAAATTACGTGTACTGGGGTACGTCTTAGCCATGTGTTACACTCTTCGACCCGGTTTTCGAGGGAGAAACGTGGTCAACTGTACCGAGCCATGCTGCGCAATATCTGCGAAATGGTTGACCTGGTCCTTTGTAAATGATTCATGCACCAGAATCGCTTCGCAAATATCCCTGGTTTGACACTGACCCTGTTGATATCTTGAGTCTGGCAAGGGAGGAGAAGAGATATGACAAGGTTTGTGTGTATGTGTGTGTGGCTCAATCGCTTGCGGCAGATGATGTTTCGTTTCGAATGTGATACTCTTTTCCTTTTACCACTGTCAGAGCACGTAAGTAAGCCCAGGTTGCAAGGATTCTATTATCCCAGTCAACCCGGCAGTTGCTTGCTCACAACCCAGGCCCCTGGCCGACTCGTCTGTAAGCAACCGATCATGCCCAGCGTTTGTAATCAAGGAGACGTCATCCCGGGTTATACGCTGTATTTCTGACAAGAGGCTTTTTATCTTCACGGCACATAGCAGGTAAAGTATGATAGTTCGCTAATGCATGGTTGACATGCATTCGACCCTTGCAGAGTTTAAGGCCAAATTCAACAAGACGGGCGTCAAGGCTAATGTAAATCAATTTATGGACCGCCCAACAGCCTAATACCGTAAGTTGCGCTTACAACAAGGGAATCTACCATGTGGCAAAGGATTCCGCTTTGCATCTGTTTACCTAGTAATTGCATACAGTCCTATATGCACCTCCTCATATACCTATTACGCGAGAAATATACTTAGATGATGTTCAATCGAGATTCATACGCACGCTATATAGTCTTAATCACACTCCGCCACCATCCCACCTTACCCCTCTCCATCTCTTTCGCACTCACCACCCCGCAGGCCCGCGCCCGAAACTTGGCCAAGAATGAAACGGAACATGACCTCCGGGATTCTACCAAAGTAAAAGAAACTACAAATTAATAGAGTGTTTTTCTCCCGTCAGTTGCAGGTCGACACATCTGCGGATGTGCCGGAGTAGTTGGCTTTGCTAGAATCAGGACAACACATATTATTGTACAGATGGAGGCTTAACACAAAGCAATGCAGTTCAGATATCACCATGCAACTAGTCATAACCAGACATAAACAATATGAAGAAGAAACACGATTTGTCGAATATCTTCCCTGTTTACCCTCCGTTTTACAGGGTAGGTGTTTTAGTTTGTGAGAGAACTTACCCACCACACGAACATAAGTCATGTTAGCTATAGAGTAATATCTTTAGTAAAGCATATATAGGAATAGAGCCTCCCATTGTTTTTTTTTCGCACTGGGCCGAACTATTCAGCATTCGGTTGGTGGAATAGGAATGTTGCTCTGGAAACTAATCTGTCTTTTCTTTTTCAACCGAGATGATGCACATGCAGTGTATGGGGGGTTAAGAATATAAGCATGCGACAGTAACCTGGGCTGGAACACTTCAGGTTAATGTTGAATATTAGTCTGGTAAAAAATCTTTCAGACAGTGTTGCGGCGCGTGTCGGTGTGTCATTTCAGTGGCTTTGTAAAGAAGTGTGATTGGAGTTCACGATACGAAGGTCACCAACCAAAGCGAAATAACCAGGACACGGACTGTTCGAGGAGAAAACTCGAGAAGACTTTAAAGCAGCTGCGAGTAAATGCACATCTAAATATGTACACATAGGATCCAACACCAGGAGAGCGTACGTTGGTTTCCCCCCTCTCTCCCTCACACACATTTCGTGCCGCAATCCTTGGTAATACTTCTCAATTCGTTTAAACACAACTTATAGTTGTTGAGAATCACACCGCATACCAGTTCAGTCAGCAAATTTCTTTATTATGAATAATCTTGATTGTGCACCAATGCAGCTGTTCTGCAACTCGCAGATACCATCGCTAATTGGTTGATCCTGGACCCCAGCAATGAAGAAAAACTTGGTCTAGTTGAACTGACGGCGCATAAAATATCTATGTATAGCAACTGTAAGACACCGAGTAGCAAGCAACATGCCTGCAATTGCGCCTACGTCCGCGGACCACGACACGACCAGACAGTGATCTTTATGTAGCTCGATCCGATCAAGTCGAAACTAGTTCAAATTGCATTTAGCTACGACAAGTATACGTAATCCACGAGCAAAGTTTTGAATTGATAGCTGAGATAAAATTCACATCGCGTTAGTAAAGCATCGTACGTGCTTTTTGCATAGTGGTCTGATACTCCACAGAACAGAAAGACCAGCGCTAATGATCGACGCGGGACAGTAAGACGGGCTAGCTGGTTCATTTTATCGAGATGGAATTTCACATGCATCTGGCTCTTGATCTGCGCATAAATGGCATGATGCCAACCTTGAGTCAGGTCAAGCCATAGCGCGCAGAAGCCACCGCTTTGTCGTTAGCCTGGAACGGAACAATCGTCCCATTTTGATTTCAACGTGTACCGATGACGATACGTATAGCGTGATACATTAGTCTAGAGTCGCAAAGGCCTATGCCCAAAGGGAGAGAGTGCCCAAAATATGGATGAAACTACCATGGTACCTAGGCACTTCCGTGCCTATTACGTACATGTGTCACCTTCCTCAAAAGGATCAAGCTGCAGGTACTTGTAACACCCATGACCTTGTGTCAGCACGGCCATCGCTAATATCCGCAGCACAGCTCAAATTTTCTGCCTGGGCATTTGGACGCTTTCTTAGTTCCCAATTAAAGTTTGGGAATGCCCAGAGGTCATGCACGTGATGCTGAATCAGGAACAACACCGGCAAATTGTGACAAGTCTTGCATAAACTTCAAGCTACGGTAGATGTGACAACAAGCAAGTGATGAGGCACGAAGTGTATACCGAAAAAAGCTAAAAACCTTAATTGCACGACAGGGCTCAGCGAAGGTCAAACTGAGACGTTCTGGGCGCCTTGTACGATCTACACAGGATAGACCATAGCGGGGTTCTCGGAACGGTTCCGACCGCGGGCCGATGTGATCCCGGCGGTAGGCGCCGATGGCGTAAGAGCCATCAGCGACAACACATTACCAGCAAAAGCAACCTTGCCTTCAAACGCAATCATGTCTGGAGGCTGGAACACTATAGAGTCCGATGCTGTTAGTGCTCCGCCAACTGCGCCCAAAGCCCCTCTTCACCCGCTGACCCGCACAGGGCGTATTCACCTATCTGATCGAGAAGCTCGGTGTTAAGGACGTACAGTTCGAAGAGCTCACCACACTCGAAGCATCGGACCTGCAAAACCTCGGTACAATCTATGGAGTCATCTTCCTCTTCAAATACCCTACCGGCGAGAAGCCCAGCGATGTACCCAAAGACGGCACCTATGACTACGAGGCGGCGAGCTCCATCTTCTTCCCGGCGCAAACCATACAGAATGCCTGCGGAACACAGGCGATAGTATCGCTTCTGTTGAACAGAGAGGAGGAGATTGATATCGGCAAGGAGTTGAGAGAGTTCAAGGAGTTTGCGGGTGACTTCCCACCAGACGTATGTTGAGCCGATAATGATATTTCGCGACATATCCTAACCCAGACAAAAGCTCCGTGGCGAGACTCTCTCCAACTCCGATCTCATCCGCGAGACACACAACTCATTCGCACGCTCCTCGCCCTTCATCGACGAGACGCAGCGAACAGCAACCGAAGACGACGATGTATTCCACTTCATCGCGTAAGCATTCCACCCCTTGCTCAAGCCAAAGCAAAAAAAACCTCTCCCCCCCATCCACCCTCAAGCGCATAACTAACGCATAACTCTCCCAGCTACACAAGCATAAATAACAAACTCTACGAACTCGACGGCCTCCAACCAGCGCCCATCTCCCATGGACCCTGTACTTCTTCAGAATTCCCCCAGAAAATCATTCCCGTCCTCCAACGCCGCATCGCCCGCTACCCCGCCACGGAAATCCGCTTCAACCTCATGGCCTGCTGTCGCGACCTACGTATCCGCGCCCGAGAGATTGGCGATGAGGAAGAGTTGGAGGAACAGGAAGATAAGCGCGCAAGGTGGCTGTGGGAGAACTCGCTGCGAAGGCATAACTTTGTGGGCTTTGTGGGCGAGCTGCTCAAGAGCGTTGTGAGGGCAAAGTTGGATCAGGGTGGCGATGCGTATGGCAAGTGGGTTGAGGAGGCCAAGGGAAGGTCGACCAAGAGGAGGGAGGACCTGAGGAAACAGGGCATTGCCGAGGATTAAGGGGAGCGAGAGGTAGCACTGTTGTTGTGTGGTGGTAATGCAAGCAGGATTGGGTTATTGATGTATGATGACGCTGCTGTGTATACATGTTTGAGAACATGTGCAGCAGGTCTGATGATTACTCAAACCTGCCATTTCGTATAGCATGATATACATATGAAATAGCACATGCAGAATCATCCTCTTGCAGTCTTGCAAGAACTCTTCACAACCCCGCTTATACTCCGTCACATTGATTTCACCTCTTGCCTTGGGCTTCTTCACACATTTTCACAAACACAGCAACAGGCAAGGCAGAAAAGAAAAGAATAACGATGATGAGATAATAATCAGTATTCAGGATCATACAAAGTCCTTTTGGAAGTCTGTCATCTACTAAATACTCTCATCTCACATCCATTCATCCATCCTCATTATCCAACAAAAATGGACAAGCCCCAACTAAGATGAACCTGAAAAAAAAGAGACACAACTCCAGCTAGATCCTATACAACGCCATTTTCACTATGCTAGCTCGATAGTCTGGGCGGGAGGGGATATATACGCTTCGCTACATTACTTCATAAACGTGGTATGATATGGTATCGGTAAGGCCATGGGATGATGAGAGAGAAAACGGGAAAACGGGAAAGGAAAAAAAAAGTGGAACAAAGGAAAATATGAGCTCATGTCTATGTGGGGACAAAGACGTTTACAGCTCGCTTACTGCGCAGTAGGCAGGGGCAGCCTGGAGGACAACAGGCTCCATGGCACATGAAGGGCCTTTGGACAAAACGTAGTCGGTGGTGGGAGTGTCTTGAGTGACGGGGGCAGCTTGCTCCACATTCTCGACAGTCTCGACAGGTTCGACAGGTTCTACAGACTCCACAAGCTCGATTGCAGGGCTTGTAGGCTGTGTGTTCTCAACTTCCAAAACTGCTTCGGCAACAACGTCTTCAACCTTCTCCTCAACGTCAGGTACAGAT